TTAAGCAACGAATTCCCCATCTGGATACATTAAGACATGAACTTTTGTCGCATCGCTTTATGGCTTTGGAAGACTAAAACGTGCAAATCTAAAACACCTGTTTAAGTGACGGAAAAGAGAGGAAAATGCTTTTATCACGAGAACAGGATTTTTTTTCCTAAAAAATCAGTCATTAGTGGATAGTTAAAAGAATTGCCGTCTCTGCTTCATTTCATCACTGACCTCATACTCGCAGGCGATACCATAATGAGTAGGCGGACAGATGCATCTGCAGACATCAACGGCATTTCGTGGAAGTATCATGATGCCATTGTTAAGACAGGGTCGCATACAATGCACCACCTCGTAGATAAGGCGTCTCAGACCCTCGGTTGCACTTTGCGGCGACAGTGGTAACACCATAACCCTTTTCCTCACACCAGAGCCCTCTTCCATGTGCTCCAACCCGAGATCCATGTCTATTAGGGATTCCTGTGCTGTTGAAGGGCCACGATATCCCCTTGTCTGACTGATTAGGAGCGCACAGACGACAAGGATCTGGAGTAGCATGCTATCGTGATTATCAGAGCCATTGTGTTGGGACGTTGTTATACTCTCATCACGGACCAATGGCGTGCAGGGAAAGGGGAGGTGGGGTTTACCAGTGGTCAGGGTATAAAACAAGATTGATGATTTACTGGCGTCTAAGAGGTGTCACAGATTGGCATCTCCTTGTCCCACTACAATCCACCCAATTGATTTCAGTCACCGAATGGCCACCCTATCAGTCTCTAAACACCTTTTATGCTAGAGCTTGAGTTTTTAAACGTTCGTCATTACAAGACGCATTAATAATTCACAGATGACAAGAAATTTTATCCCATTGTAGTCACGCCAGTACAAGAGGCGAAAAAGTTGTTTAATATTGGAAAAGCGCGCTCCTCCATGGGAGGCTTACTACTGTCGGATGTCATACAAACTACATCCACCTAACCACTGCAAATGATCTAATTTTACACCTTCGCAACATGCTCCGACGTGGTAAAACAAAGCACCGAGGCGCAAAGTTTGTCCAGACAGTGTTGAAGGCCACAAAGGCTTCCATGAGAACAGAGACAAAGGTCAACTCAAAAATATTGTCTAGATGGGAGTGAAATTTCCAAAAAAAAAGGGAAACCCAAGCCCCTTCACGTTATCATTTTTTTTCTTTTACATTTGCT